GACCACCCCAGTGGACACCTGCCACTTCTGCCTGCCCAGCATCTAGCCCTTCTGCTTCTAACAGCACCCAATGACCTTTGGGGATTGTCCCCCTTCCTCAGTCCAGGGGTTTCAAGGTGGGCCTGAAGCTCTTCCCTGCGCCTCCAGGAACAGCTACAGGGCCCGGCCACCAGACTCATTCTATGCCCCAGCCTTTGTGATTGGGTCCATGGTGGGCATGTGACCCAAGCAGGGCCAATAACAGTCATCCCAGGACTCGGAGGGAACCCCTGAGGTAAAGGTGGGCTCTTTCTATTTGGATGACTGCAGTGGTACATTGTAAGCTCAGAGCTGCTGCTGACCATCTCGGCCACCACATGAGGAGAGCCTCCCTCAAAATGAAGACACCACAGAGAAAAGCAAAATGGACGGATGGAGAGACACAGAAGTCTGAGAATTATATTTGAGCTCCTGGATTGAGCTCGGAGCCCTGGTGGTGTAATAGTTAAAGCACTCAGCTGCTAACCAAAAGATCTGTGGTGGTTCGAGCCCAAGAGCCTCTCTGCAGATGAAAGATGAAGCCCTTTGCTTCTGTAGATTGACAGCCTTGGAAACCCTGTGGGGCAGTTCCACTCTGTCCTCTAGGGGCCCTGTGAATCACAATCCACTCCTCGGCAGTGGGTGTGGCTGGGGCTTTGCTTCTGTGAAGATTGACAGCCTTGGAAACCCTGCAGGCATTTCCACTCTGTCCTCTAGGGGCGCCGTGAGTCAGAATCAACTTGGTGGTAGTGGGTTTGGTTTTTGGCTCTAGCTCAGCCTGAAGTCTCTGGATTTGGGGCTTAAGCAGTTTATTTTGGTTTCCTGGCACTTGGGGTTGACAGGGCCCTGGCTGATTCACACACACACACACACAACTACAGACAGATACAAGGATGGTTGGTGTAAATGGCTAATACACTTACTCGGCTGCTAATCGATAGGTTGGAGGTTTGAGTCCACCGAGAGGTATTTCAGAAGAAAGCACTGGTCGTCTGCTTCCAAGTGGTCAGCCTTTGAAAACCTGTGGCGTACAGTTCCACTCTGACACACAAGGGTCACATGAGTTGCAGCTGACCTGACAGCAACTGGTTTAGGGCTGAGGGTGGCAATAGGCGCAGGGGGATGACAGTTACAGGGAATGGGTTTCTGTGCTGAAAGAACGCTGGCAGCCGCAAAGGCACTCAGTGGACATTTGTTGGGTGAACAAGTACCACCCAGCACGTAAGCGGGGGAGCCCTCTGGCGTGTGCCCACCAGCACAGCTTCTGGTCTTTTGCAGAAGAGTCTCTATCAAAACCAGTTGCCAAAAAGTCTTAAGAAATGGAAAACAAACAATAAAAGCAACAGTAGCAGAGGGGAGCTGAAGAATTATTTCAGAACCTAAAAAGTCTTCTTAAATCAAAGTGAGTCTCTGTTTAGTGTCCACTGATTTTCAATGGGAAGACGACGAACACGACTTTGGTGCCCTTTGAAAACAGTCATGGAGGGTGTCTCAAGGTCATGGCCTCAGCAGTTCTGACATGGGTGTGTGTGTGTGGGGAGAGTCATTAGCAGCCCAGTTCTGTGTGAGAAAGCAAGGCATAAAAAGCAGAGTGCAATCAGGCTGAACTGGTGGCAAACTGGCTCCCCAAATGCTCCCCAAACCAGGTCGGGAAGCCTCCCCACAGACCCAGGGGAACCTGCCCCCCAGACACTGCCCTGCAGATCTGAGGGACAAGCTCAGGGCACGAGGGAAGCCTGCTCCTTCCCACCCTTCTTAGCCGATTTCCTCGTCCTGCTTTAGTGGGTCTGCTATGTAGAACCATGCTGGAAGGCCAGTCTGCAGCGGTTGTGCTCAGCACACTAAGGTTCTCCTTCTGTTAACAGGAGGGTCAGGCCTAGGCCAAGTGTTCTCAACCTGCAGGCCTCAGTCATGGGGTCCTGAGGGTTATAATGGAGGCTTAAACATTTCAAATCACCTATAAGATGTTTTTATCAAAAAAAAAAAAAAAGGATTCTCAATGAGGACTCTAAATCTACTCCTTAATTTACAGGAAACGTCCTGGACAGAGCAATGTGCGAAATGACACCTCGGGGATGCAATCTACAAAACTCTGGGACAAACAACTCAGAAGGCAAAGCGCCTCTAGAATTAAGGAGATTTAAGGCACTGGGCTGCTAACCAAAAGGTCCCCGGCTGAACCCACCAGCTGCTCTGCAGAAGACAGATGAGGCAGTCTGCTTCCATAAGATTTCACCCGTGAAAACCCTATGGGGCAGTTCCACTCTGTCACATGGGGTCGCTATGAGTCGGAATGGCCTCAAGGCAATAGGTTCTGTTTTGTTCTTTGGATCTAGAATCAGTAACAGTACCTACTTGAAAGGACGTTCGTTTCCAACCTGTGTGGGGAGGTTTGGACCTCAGACAAACCTCTGAGTGTTAGGTTGGCTTCTGAGGAAAGGCCCATTAGTGGGATTTGGAGGAAAGCCTTTAATTTCCCCAAATGCGTGCACCTGGAGCTGGAATGGCTTGGAAGAAGGAACTCCGCCGCGGGACTGGCCTGCACGTTGGCGTCTGCCAGTTTCACTCGCAATCTGTTGCTAAGGGCCCGCCCGAATAAGTTTTTCCGGTTCGCTCTCACAGCCTGGGACCCCGCCGCCTCTTTGATGTGGTGCTGCAAAGCGCTGCAGGCGGCGTGCACGCCAGGTACCCGCGTGGGGGCGGGAGCCCTGGTGGCCCCAGGCAGAGGCGCATCTGCGCGGGAAGGACTGGCTAGCACCGCCCGCTTTTGTCTGCCGAGGTGGGAGCCCCACGAGCCCTTTCAAGTCTACCCTCGGGCTCCTCCCCGCAGGAATGCCAGGTTTATTGTAGGTTCGCTCACTTCTTGGTTTAGATCTTCGTCTGCGCCCCCGCCCCGCCTGGGACTTTCAAGTCAGATCTAGCAAGTCTGCGGGGGTACAGAAGGTCCTCCGAGGCGCAGCCGTTTATCTCAAAGAGCCTGTGGCGAGAGATAGCGCAAACCCGCAAAGAAGTCCTACTTCCTGGCGAGAGGCATGTCCCAGCAGACAAGCTTCGCTGGCGCCACGGGCTCGGCCCCCTGGCTTCAAGGGCCTGTAATTTGCTTGTTCCTCACCGAGGAGGCTTAGGGAGATCCCACTGGGCCACGCTCCCAGGCAGAGGAGTGATTGCACCAGCTAAGAGTCTCCCCCAACCCCTGACACTCCTAGCCAGATCCCGGGTTACTGCATATACTGGAGGTTATGCATGTGCGTTTGCAGTCCCTAGCTTTGTCATTTAAAAGAGGCCAGTTGCGGTGGAGTCGATTCCTACTCACAGCGCCCCTAGTGGCCAGAGTAGCACAGCCCCATAGGGTTTCCAAGGCTGTCAATCTTTACAGAAGTGGATTGCCACCGCTTTCCCATCGCGACACCAGGGCTCCTTTCTCTGACTTTGGGGGTGCGCTCTTGCTGGAATTGTCCAGCCTCTCCAGGCATCAGTGACATGCGGGTGATCATTTAGACCTCTTAAGGTTGTGGGTTATTTGGGGTGCACTTCTCCACGTGTCAACTGAATTATTCCCCTGGCCGTTTGCTCCTTCCCAGCTCCGCCCCCCCCCCGCGCCCCCTTAGAGTGTGATTCATTACTGATGACGGGAACCAGACTTCATTTTCAGAACTATCAAATAACTAGGAGCTTAGGACCTGAGGGAGCAAAACAGTTCTCAGAAGGACTGGAGACAGGTGGCTCTTGTGGCGCCCTGTTTCAGGCCCTGTCACCACCAAGCGCAGAGAGGATTTGCTCTAGCCTCTCCACAGTCTCCTCTCTCAAGGGCATGCCCCGAGCCAGTCTTTCGACTCATAGTGACCCTCCCCATTGAGTTTCTGAGGCGGTAAATCTTTACAGAAGTAGTCTTCCTTAGGCTGAGCGGCTGGTGGGTTTGAACTGCCAACCTTCCAGTTAGCAGGCAAATGCCTTAGGCACCACACCACCAGAGCTCCTTTTTGGTTTTCTGGTTCTCCCCAGTCTCCTCTCTCAAGGACATAGCCCCCACCCACACCCAGAGCCAGGACTCCTCCCTGAGCCTTCAGAATCCCTATCTGCTGTCCCTCTGATCTAGAAGGCGTGCGGTGCTGTGGGAGGCGCAGCTCTTCAAGCTGCAGTGGGAGAACAGGGTGCAGGGGTAGGGGTCCTAGATTAAAAAAAGAAAAAAGAAAGCCTCTAGCAAAATTTATTATTTTTTTTTCCAGTAAAAGTATATCCCAAAGTATTTGTTGTTTATTTTAAATCTAGTTTAACTAGATGTCCTACATTCAATATGCTAAATCTGGGAGCCCTTTAAAGTGGTCGAGCTGGGATTTTAACCTAGTCCTGCCTGATCTGCAAAATTCCTCCCTTCCTGCAAAATCCGGCTGATTAGGAACTCTCTCGGCTTGCATGAGCATCGGAAGAGAACAGCTGTGTGAAACGAATTCTGTAAGCCCTCAACCACCATGTAAACGCTAGTAAGTGTAGGGATTTTGTTTGCCTCAATCATGGCCCAACCAAGTGGTTAGGTTGTCCTCCGTATTTGTTTTCATGAAAAATCGATGGTGTCACTTTACCTAAATAAGCAAGAAGAAACTGAGAAAACAAAAGATCTCAAAGAAATTTAGGTCCAAAGTCCCAAGGACGCCGCATAAACGTCTCAGCACTACACATCCCGATGCTCACCACACTGTGCGTCCCAGGAGGTACGCTTCACTTCTCTTCCAGGTGGACCGCACCTGAGAGAGGGAGAGCGAGAAAGAGCGCACGCGCGGGAGAGAGTAAGGGAGAGAGATGTGCGCTTGCGCACTCCACTCAAACCGGAGAAGTTGCTACGCGCATGCGTTCGCCCGCCGTCAGGAGTAAAGTGTGCGCACGCGCCGGCCCAGTCCGAAAGCGCGGGAAAGACCAGCTTACTGGGCTGGAAGCGGGCGCGGGAGCTACTGCGGTTTTAGCTTACCGAGGTTTTCGTCGCCGCCATCGACCTTCATGGCCTTCGCGCCCATGGGGCCTGAGGCCTCGTTCTTCGAGGTTTTGGACCAACACAGGGCTTCCCTGCTGGCCACCCTGAGGAGAGGCAGCCATGAGCCCCCTTGTGGGGGTACCCGCCCCACCTCTAGGTACTAAAGAAATTGAGAATGTTCGACTGTGGGCGTGGCCTGAGGAGGATGACCCGTACAGTAGAGAAGTATTGGAATACCCCCTTCTGACCCTCTTTCCGATCTGTCTGGCCCCCTTCGTTGACATAGAAGCCACCAGGGGCCCTCCTCTGTGGCAGTAGTAGCCAGGCACCATCTAGTTCTTCTGGTCTCAGGGTCATATAGGCTGAACATCACATGGTCTCCTAGTCCTTTGGACTAATTGTTTCCATGCGTCTTTGGCTTTCTTCATTTTTATTCTGAATGAGGAGAGACCCAATGTTGCATCTAGGTGGCCGCTTGCAAGCTGTTAAGACCCCAGTTGCTACTCGCCAAAGTAGATGTAGAGTAGCATTTTTTGTGTAGATGTTATGCCAATTGAGCTTCATGTCGCCTGGGGCCATGGTCCTGAGTCCACAGATGCAACTACTCACTCCCTCAGGGTGCTTGGCCATGGCCAAGAAGTTATCATACGTTTGCCCCTCCTTAGCTCTATGGCATATTTGGACATTCTCACAGCACCTACAAATACGTATGTAGGAATAGCGTCTGCCAACGTTGTACATGGTCCTGGGTATATCCCTGTTACATGCCTGATCATTCAGCCTGTCTACCATCTGCTTACCCACCCGATGCTTGTTATCACTGACCCCTCTGGGGGCCAGCCTGGACCCTCAGAGAGGCCTTCCTTAACGTCCCCTGCCTCTTTTATGTATTTAACTTTTCTTTCCAACCTCAAAAACACAGTCCCCCTTGTGTTTTCTAGAATGTTCCCTACTTAGAATGTTCCCTTTCTACAATGTTCTAGGAAAATCCCTGCAGCCAGTCACTCAGGGTCCCCCCCCCCATAAATTTTTAGCTTTAAAAGATTTTTTAACTTTAAGAGTTTCTGTTTTTTCCTTTTTTTTTTTAAAGTGAGATGATAAATGTGAAAAGCAATGGTTTTCTCAAAATAACCAGAAAGTGAAGATATATATTTTTTTAGTCATTTATAGCAAGACAGGTTTTCTTGACATGTAGATGGAAGTGGAGAGATTGTACATATTTTAAATAATTTATTTAAAATTAATTCCAGCTACTCAAATTGGAATTAACTGCCAAAATGTGTTTCTTGTTATTAATCCTTTTTCCTTAATATATTCTGTTGTTTTGCTTCCTTTATCTGCTTTTCTGGTCCATCAGCAAGCATTTTCAGCCCTAAACCAATTTTATTGTCTATGATTTGGAAGTCCAAGCCAACTGCCAAAAACAAAACAAAAACATCCATAGCAAACAAATTTTTAATAAAAGAATTTAGTTTGAGGGGGAGCTTGAGAGGGTGAGGGAAAGAAAGGAGGGAGTGGGGAAGTCTCTTGTTTACATTTTGTGTGTAAATTCGTCCCATTGTATCTTAGGTTGGTCACTGTATTGTTGAGCAACATTATTTTTTCAAATTGGAAAAAACTAATGAGATATTTGAGTTAGTGTTTACCTCTCATCATTAGAAAATACTGATTTTTAAAATTCATCCTCTGTTACAAGATTTTCACCAAAGGTTTGGCATTTTCATGGAAATTAAAGCCTGCATTTTACCCATTTTCTAGATTTAATGTGATTTCCCTTGCTGGTCACTACGCTATTTGTGTTTATAATACAATAATATTTTATGAAGCTGATTTCTTGTGAAATGAAAGGTCAGCTGACAGGAAACTGGGCTGTCTTAATATTTGCTGTAAAATGGGCATCATAGTTGCCAACTCAACAATTTGGTGCAGTACTCACGATTTATTCTTTTTAGAGTAGTGATTAAACTTTTTTTTTTTTCCTTTCTATTATCACTAAAATTCAGAAGGGTTGATTGGAGGCATGCGATCAATTAAGGTAGTGTGCTACAAGAAATATTTCTCTTGGAATATTTTTGGGCCATATTTTTAAGAAAAAAAATTAAGTTTGAATTCAATATTGCATCATTTTTAACTAAAACATTTATCAGTAGAATCTCAAGTTTGTATCTAAATTCATCTAAATCAAAGTAGGTTAATATAAAAAATAGGTAAAATGCTATACACAGTACTGTCTTGTCAGTAAAATAAACGTTAATCTGTGGGTAAGCAGATGGGTAGACAGGCTGAATGATCAGGTATGTCTAGGCAAAAGGGAATACACCCATGACCATATATAAGGTTGGCAGACAATATTTCTACATACGTATTTGTAGGTGCTGTAAGAACGTCCAAATATATAATAGAGCTGACGAGGGGCAAAGTTATGATAACTTCTTGGCCAAAGCCAACCATCCTGAGCGAGTGAGTAGTTGCATCTGTGGGCTCGGGACCATGGTCCCAGGAGACATAAAGCTCAATTGGGTTAACATACTACACAAAAATACTGTTCTACATCTACTTTGGTGAGTAGCAACTGGGGTCTTAAAAGCTTGCAAGCGGCCATCCCTATACAACAACGGGTCTCTCCTTAATCAGAGTAAAGAAGAATGAAGAAAACCAAAGATTCATGGAAACAATTAGTCCAAGTGACTAGGAAACCATGTGATGCTCAGCCTATATGACCCTGAGACCAGAAGAACTAGATGATACCTGGCTACCACTGTTAAGCACTTGGAAAGGGATCAGTTCAGGAAATCCTGGGTAGAGTGGGAGAACAATGTGGAACAAAACTCAAAAGGTTTATTGTCTGATAGAGCCTGGTGAGACCCCCAAGACTATGGCCCCTAAATTAACCTTCAGGTCTGGTACTGAACTCACTCCTGTGGCTTCCAGCCAAACAATAGACAGGCATATGGGGTGAGCATTTACATCAGGTAGATACATTCCTTGGAGCAATCGATCGATCATGGGAGAACAGAAGGGCAGTGTTTGCACAGGGATATAGCTGGAGTGTGGGGGTGGTGTGAAGCAGGAATGCATAGGAAAGAAGGACACAGGCAAGAAGTAACTACAGGGAGGAAGTGGAAAGAGAGCTGTTACATTGTAGTTATGAAACAAAATGTGTATGAACTGTGTATAGAAAATGAATTTGTTCTGTAAACTTTCACCCAAATAGCAATAAAAATTTTTAAAATAAAAAGTAGGTAAAATGCGTTTATAAATTGTTTACTCATTAATCTAAAAGAGTACTATGACTTAAATAGGTAATTTTTTGATAATTACAGAAAATTATAAGCATTTCTTTCTGCAGTTGTTGTCTTAATGTGGTACTGATGTCAAGATTTAATAGGCAAGATAATTTATTGACATGGATACCTTGTCTTAAAAAACAGGCAAGGAAATGCAAAGTTACTCTAGTGTTGTTCTGGGGATATGTCACACTGTAAAGGCCTCATTTGTAATTCAGCTGGAATCATAACGTGTTTATTATTTCAGTTCCGAGGTTCTTGCATCTATTGAACATATCATCCAAGACATAATCGCAAGCTTGGCAAGGAATGAAGCACCTGTATTCTCTGTAGACAACAGATCAAGCTGGGAAAATATAAAGTGGGCATTTTACATTTTTATTTTTAAATATAATACCTTCATCATTATTTGAATCAGAGTTCTAGTCAGATTTTATTTATTTTATTGTCTTTACCCTGCCAAAAAGAATTAAGGAAATTTACAAGATACTTACCATACAGAAGAGTTATATAAGCTAGGAGCTCTGTTAGCATAGTGCCTAAGCACTTGACTGCTAACCAGAAGGCTGGCGGTTCAAATTCACCAGCCACTCCTCGAAAGGAAGGTTGGGCAATCTACTTTCATAGTGATACTGCCTCAGAAACCCAAGGAGGGGTCGCTATGAGTCGGGTCTGAATTGACGGCACATAACAACAACAACAACAGGAGTAGGTGTGGATGATCAGGCGAAGGGAAGACAGTCTGCTGTTGGATGCTCTATATCCCAACACACATAGTGACACCATGGGACAGAGTAGGGCAGTCTTGGCTGTAATCTTCATGGAAAGAAGCTGTGGTGGCACAGTGGCTAAGGCATTTGGGAGCTAAGCAAAAGGTTGGTGGTTTGAACTCACCAGCCATGTTGTGGGAGAAAGATGAGGCAGTCTGCTTCTGTGAAGATTTACAGCCTTGGAAACCCTGTGTGTGTGTGGTTCTCCTCTACCCCATAGGGCCTCTATGGGTTGGAATCAGCTTGGTGGCAGTGGGTTAATCTTCCCGGAAGCATCTCTCCAGGTCTTTCTCCCTTGGAGCCTCTGGGTGGGGTGAACCATCAACCTTCGGTCAGCAGCTGAGCACCTACCCGTTCCACCACCAGGGCTCATTTGGGAAAAAAAAAACGAAACCCGAGACATAAAGTGGAGCATCAAAAGAGGTTGGAATTCACAGTTGCGTAGCTGAAGCCTTGTAGGCTTGCTAAAAACAGAGGCCAACCTGGATCTAAGCTTTCATAGCCCTCGGTGGGGGAAATGTGACCAGTGAAATTCTCATCTATAAGATAACTGCAAAAGCAAACCACTTGCTCAGGGGAGCTACAACCAGTACCCAAGACCAAAATAAATGTATGCTGAACATGGTAGCACATTTAAAGTTTCCTTTTCTTGCCAGATTTCCTCCTTCTGCTGCTATGTTTAAGAAAAGTAAAATCAGCAAACAGCTTTATCAAAATCCTTGAGTCAAGTTGTATAGCTTTGACTTTCAGATTCTCAGCTTGTAGAATCTTCTCTGCTAATGCAAACCAGTGCAAGAATAGGTCCCATACCTTGTAACGGCTACAGAAACAGAGTCAAAGTAATTTGAAGTTCATTGGTCACTAAGGTCCCTGGGTGGGGCAAACTGCACTAACCTGAAGGTTGATAGTTCAAAGCCACTTGTAGTGGTGCAGAAGAAAGGCCTGGCAATCTGCTGTAAAGAGTACAGCCAAGAAAACCCTATGGAGCAGCTCCACTCTGTAACACATGGGGTCACCATGAGTCAGGAATCAGCTCGGCAGTGATGGGTTTGTCACTAAATAATCTTTTATGATCAATATAAGCTGTGTAGTTTTTGAATAATATTGTGTATAATGTTTTAAGAATAATATGTTGTGTTTTCAGTGAAAATTAGGTTCCCATTTGACAATTTCTACACAAATTGTTCAGCACCATTGGCTCCAATTCTCACAACGTGTATCGATATTCTCTTTAATTGCCTTCTGATGGTTCCGTTTCCAGGACTCTGGTTTCCTTGCCCCCTTCTCAGCTTTGCTCAAGAGTGACTGTTGGTCTTCGGGATCATAGATACGGATTTCAGTGGAGCAGTGCACTCACTTCTGTGCCTGTCTGTGTTTCACGGAAGGGTGGCCTTGGGGTAGTTTTGGTTCAAGGGTTAAAGAGTATCTCAGGGTGATAGTCTCAGGGAGTCCTCTGATTTCAGCTGGTCCAGTAAGTCTAGACTTTTTTTAAGAATTTGAGTTCTGTTCTGTGTTTTCTCCCATCTATGTGGGTCCATCTGTGTGGCCCTGATCAGAACAGTTGGTAGTGGTAGCTGGGCACCATCTAGTTTTTTCGCATAGTATTTTGAAGATGGTGTTCATCCAGTCTCCAAGCTGTTGACATCTGGCATCTTTGCTTGGTGCGTTCTGCCACCTTTAGGACAGGCTTGGCAGTTCAACTTAACAAACGAATATAAATGATTTCATTTCATGTAACTTTGGCATTAAATAAGAACTATATTTCAAAATTAACAATTATTTAAATGGATAAAATGCTAATGAAAATGTGAAAAATTTTAAAACATTTTACATACTCTGTCTTCTAGGAGAATGAAAAAAAATATAAAACTTAATTCAGTTACCTTAAACTCTTAATTGTAGTGCCTCTATGTCTAACTACCTCCTGTAACGATCTAAGTTTATGAAGAAGTCATACCAAAGCTTCAGTGACTACATTGAAAGGAGATGTGGAATTTAAATAATGTAAAGGAGAGGCACATTAAATATCTGTTGTTTGATGTTCAGAATATATATATATTTTTCATTTTACTTCCTTGTTTTAAACAAAATGACAGGTTTGAAGATTCTGTGGGTCTTCAGATGGTATCTCATTGTACCACAAGAAAAATCAAAAGTGATTCACCAAAATCAGTTCAAAATTTCGGTAAATTAATCTTTCTTGGCTGTTAGTAATAAAGAAATAAATATCTTTGGTTCGCTCTCCCTGTAGGGGGTTCCTGGTTAGATATTTTTGCTTGTTCTTTAATAGACCACTCTTGTCCTTGAGATAAACATCTAGAATTTTATGCTGTCAGCAACCATGGAAATAGCTTATCATTCCCAAATAAATGTATGTTTCAATGTATATGGTTCAGTGGGAAATTATTCTGTCAGTTTGGCTGTCCGTGGAGACATTAATTTTATCTGATTCTTCAGGCAGTTATTTTTCTGTACTTAATCCTTCTGTTTTGGAAAGATAAAAATGTATGGAAAATAACTGGGGACAGTTCATGATCTTTGTTTTTTACAGTTTCACATTTAAAAATGAAAACCTCTGTAGTTCTGTTCACAGTACCTTTTTACTTAGTCAGAGAATGATGAGTAACTTGGTCATTACATCTTTTTCCAGCTCTAATTCTGAAAATATTGTCTGTGATTTACAAATTAGTACAAAGCAACACTTATGCAACCAAAAGGTAAATATATCATCCCAGAAAATTACTTTTTAAAATGCAGTGTAAGATTTTGTTTGATTAACTTTTATTACATGCTTTCAAAAATTGCATAAGACTAGACATGGGTAATAAATTACTTTATTCATACGTTGTATTTAGTTATTTGTTATATTCTAGGAGAATATCATTAATTAAAAATGTACTTTTTAAATGTTCTTAGAGACATATATTACACTGACAGCCAACTCTTTGGTAGCCAGACTATTGTGGACAATATAATCAATGATGTTTCTTGTATGCTGAAAGCGCCGAGGAGGAGTCTGCATATAGTAAGTTGGCACTGAGTGCAAATCAGCTTATTTTAAATCAATGTTTGTAGGAGAATTATAATCAAAATAGAAATTTAATTTGTGCCTTCTTTTGCTATTTGATTCTATATTATTTTCCCTATAAACTTAAATAATCTGTTTTCAATATGTTCCTTTGGATGAATGAACTAAAACAGATGAACTATCAAATATTCTAAGTTTCTAAATTCCCTTACAAGTTTCCTCTTTTATTCCTTGAATTCCAGTCTCAGTTAAAACATGCGGTTTTGCAGGTGAACATGAGGAGTAACTCAGCAACGTAAAAGGTTTCAAATCCATTATCTTTCCAGTTGTCTACATCGAAAGGGTTAATTGCCGGCAACTTAAGCTTCACTGAGGAAGATGGCAGCCGAGTGAACTGTGCCGGCTGCTCGACGGTAAGCATCGCCGCCGCTCTCACAAAACCCAAACCCCCTGCCACGGAGACCCTTCCAACCTGTGATGCGCTCTCCCTGTCAGACCCTTTGTTTCTGAAATGTATTCTGTTTCCTGCTTTGTAACGTAGTTTAGAGCTTAAGATCTGCAAATAAATGAAAGTGTAAATAAGTATATGCTTGATAGGGCTGTACATGACACAGTTTCAAAATATGTCAATCGCCGAACGTCATGTTTAATTAAATATGTCTAGCATAGTGGCTAAAGCACTTGACTGCTAACCAGAAGGCTGGCGGTTCAAACCCACCAGCCACTCCTCGGAAGGAAGGTTGGGCAATCCTACTTCCGTAGTGATACTGCCTCGGAAACCCAAGGAGGGGTTGCTATGAGTCAGGGCCGACTTGATGGCACATAGCAACAACAACATTCCTTTAAAACATGTACTGTTCTATTCAGGTAGATTTCACTTGACTGTTACAGCATGGTTATTTCTGTAACTTTCCTGATCCCGAAATTAATATATTTAACGTTAAATTATTTGGTTGGTTTAGGTACATACCAAGACTATAGTGCTAAACTGGCATAGTCATGTGAACAAGGGCCAAGTTACCGTGTGGGAAAAGAGGAGGGTGATGCTTAGGAGATCCTGCACAAGGAAGGCTTGTCATCTTTGTCCTTCAGTTTCTGCTTCTTGAACCTCGTATCTACAGAGCTTTCTTGAGGTTCTCACCTGCAGGAAGTAGTTTGGGTTGTGTGTTTTTCTTCTTACTGAGGGGCAAATCTGTTTCCTTACCGAGGAATATAGCTCTGACAACTGGTATAGTTGCAGGAATATGAACGTACAGATCTGTGGTAGATTATAAAGTATGGTTATACTTGCTTTTTATTAAAAAAATAACTTTCTTATTTTGTTGACTTAGGCTGTTGCTGTGCCATCTAATATTCAAGGACTTCGGAGTATCCTTTGAGTGGAAAACAAAACTTGTAGAATGATTCTTCATTTGTTCCTTTATAAACTAAACTTTCATTGTGTGCAAAGAACAAGTTAGACCCTTTAGCATGAAAACGAACACACCATGGTTCCTACTATTAGGTACTTACCACCTAGTGAGGAGACTGATATCTAAAAATATGACTAGATCTCTGCATATATATTTAAAGATAAAATAAAAGTGTCGTATTTACAGCTTTGTTAACAGTTATCTGTATGCCCCTGTTATTTCAGTCAGTGGGTGAGTGTAAACACGCTCACCTTGAAGAGTGCGTGCAGTTCAGCCTTAACATCACAGATTTCATTACAGATGCAAAATTTCTATTAATTGTGGAAAAAGATGCGACATTCCAGCGTCTCCTAGATGATAACTTCTGCAGCAGAATGTCTCCGTGCATCATGGTTACGGTATACCATCTGCCATTACACATGTTCTGCTGTGGTGCTGTGGTGATTGGTCAGAGGGGTTTGCAGCATTGCCTCTGCAGCCTGGACAGCTGTACACACCAACACGATGAGCCCCTTGGGGCCGCAGAACAAGAATTTTCAGGGTCTTTCTTTAAACCTCTCAAGTCTGACTAAGACCAAGGTGGTGGCCTGATTCTTAAATACCTCAAAAGTGAGTTTCTCCTATCAGGGTGACCTTGGGGTCACCCTCAGCCCATTCCCACAGGGGCTGCTTGTTCCCACATGATAAGCTAACACTGGGGCTTTGGGCAGGCAGAATTAACAAGCACTGCCTCTTGCTCTTCCTCGTAGTTTGTGTACCAGGGAATTCCATTAATTCAGTCAAGAGGAGCTGGATTATTACCATTTTTGAACCAGTGTGCAAAGAAGAGCAAGGGACAGAAGCAGAGGTTAGGGTTCCTCGGTCCAGGTGACACCACATTGGGAGCTACAGGCATCAATTAGTGATGCCTTTAAATTACTTTGCTACATAATCATTGCTCCAATGACTTTATAATGTTCTTCCATCATTTAGGGTTATTAGACCCTACATCTGGCCAGAGACTCTTCTAAGTGCTTTATGATTATTAAAGAGCTTGATTCCTATAAATACCTGTGACAGGTGAGTGGTAGCCGCGTTGTTGTTGTTGGGTGCCATCTAGTGGCGTCCAACTCATATCAACCCCACGTAATAGGACAACTGCCCGTGGGGTTTTCTAGACTGTAATCTTCAAGGGAGGAGCTCTGGTAGCTTAGTGTGCCTAAGGCACTTGACTGCTAACCAGAAGGCTGGTGGTTCAAGCCCACCAGCCACTCCTCAGAAGGAAGATGGGGCAATCTACTTCCATAGTGATACTGCCTCGGCAACCCAAGGAGGGGTCGCTATGAGTGGGGTCTGACTCAATGGCACGTAACAACAACAACAACAATCTTTAAGGGAGCGGATGGCTAGGTCTTTCTTCTGCGGAGCCGCTGGGTGGGTTTAAACCCCCCATCTTTCAGTTAGCAGCCAAGTGCTTATTCGTTGCAGTACCGGGCTCCTTGTGAGCATTGTACAGATGAGTTAGCCAGGACACAGAAAAGTTATGTGACTGTTTTCAAGTTTATGCTGCTAAGACATGGCAGCACCCAGGCTGCCCGGCCTCCACTGGTGCATGCCCTCACTGGGCTGTGCTGCCTTTCCATGTTTCCAGTGTTAAGGCGTCTCGGTTATTTATAGTAATTTTTGTAATATTTTCTTTAAACAATAAATAAAATTTATTTAAAACAATGCTGCGATGAATAAATTTAAGGAGTTTTTTTTATTGTTTTATTTCTGTTTCTGCTGAGATCACTGCCTAGGATTTGGGTAACTGAGTCAAAGGTGTGAATGCATGTGGGCTAGTTCCCCTATTATGTAGATTTCTTCACAGCCATCACCACCTGAAATCCAGGTGGGGGGAATTTAACCATTAGGTTATTAGTGAAATAAAGGTGCAGTTTAGTCGATTGTGTTCTACTAGATTAAAGTGTATAATTTCACTCTTGATTTTTAGGGAAAGGGAGTGCCTGACCTGAACACAAGACTTCTAGTCAAGAAGCTGTGGGATCTGTTTCACCTCCCTCTCTTCACTCTTGTGGATGCTGACCCACATGGTAATTTACCGTGGGACTGTTGGAGGGAAGAGCCAAAAGTAGATCATATTTGTAGTTGTTATTCTGCTTTCAGAATACTTTTCACAAGATACTGAAAACGCTGTTATCGTGTAAAAATTAAGATCTGTAACCACTTGAAGAAATGTACTGTGATTTGTGAGTCATATTAGACTGAGAACTATACATTTTTCATTTGTAATATCCTTGAAAATAAAAACTGCAGATGTCAGGTGAGATATGAGAGAGCAGATGATGAGTCCTGCGATGAGCGAGAGGACTAATTTCAGAGTTGGCTTCTCTCAACAGGCATGGAGATCATGTGCATCTATAAGTACGGATCGAAGGTAAGTGCAGCAAAGTGGTTTTCCTTACTCTACTATTTAGATATTTTCTGTTCGTTAGTGCAGTTTCTGCTCTGGCTGTTCTCATCACTCCCTACTAACCCAAGGGCACCAGAATGCCCTGAGGGAGCCCAGGAACCAAGTGCACGTCTGTGGCTGCAATCCCAGTCTCTAACTTGGCCAGTGCCACCTCTCACGACAGGTGGGATTTGCTGTGGGCAACAGGCATTATTGTGCTCCACCTCCCCGGCCGGCTGAAGGAACTGCGTGGCCCAGTTACAGCAAGGTAGTCTGATTGCCAAATATGCTGGAAGTATTATGTATAGCCTGGAATTCTGACTTTGCTAATTCCCTTTTCTTCTATCATAAGGAAAAATGAAAACACCACCAAATTTCATCAGTGGAGTCCGCAACTGAAATACATCAGTGGTTCTCAAAGTCTGGGCCCTGGACCAGCATCCTCCTCCTCACCAGGAAGCTTGTTAGAAATGCAGACATCAGCCTCTGTCCAGACCTAGGGAATCAGAAATTCTAGGGGTGGGGTCCTCCAAGTGATTCTGAAGCCTGCTAGAGTTTGGGAACCACTGTTAATGCCCCTCAAGTGTTCCAAGTGTATGCGCGTGTTCATAGCTGTTGCAAAGGATGGGGGGCGAGGTGTTAAAGTATGAGTCACAAGGAATAATAAATGCAGGTCAGGTAGGTTCGTTTATAGTTTTGCTTTATAGAGACTCAGTACAGAAATCCTAAAAAGCGTCACTGAAAGTCCAGCTTAGCAAAGCTCCGGGGCTTTTCTTCTGTGGGTGTGAAGTTGGCTTTAGTACTCGTACTTCCTAATAAATAAAAGCACGTTAGTTCAGGGTCACTGTGCGTTGGAATTGATTTGGTGGCAGTGGGTTTAGTTTTGGTTTTAATGCACTTTTACTCTTTATTTTAGTCTATGTCTTTTGAAGCCCATAATCTCACAGTTCCAGCGATTAGATGGCTTGGTCTCCTCCCTTCTGATATTAACAGGTTAGATGCTTTAGTGGAACTAGGATATTTGAAATGACGATTCATTGTACTATGCAACAATAAGCCTAAGAAATCAAGTTCTTGGCGTTTTTCCTTAGACTGTCTACTGTGAATCAGAATTATGTAATTATGAATTAAATTCATCAGTGTCTCTCTTCAATTACTATAAAACTTAACCAATAAACTTGGTCAATTGAAATTTCAGCCAGCAAGAAAACATTTTTGTTTTACTTTTTAGGGTTAACATGTTTGGTAATTTCTTTTATTTAGAAAGTATAATACACTTGGTCTAATTAGTGGTCATTACAGGCATCATTTGCATGACATGCTCTAGTGAAAGTATAATACGTCATCCTGCATGGGAACCAATTTGCTCATAGCCTAAGTTGATTTCTTAAATTTGTTCATAGCCTAAGTTAATTTCTTAAATTTGTTCATAGCCTAAGTTAATTTCTTAATGTTGTTGTTGTTGTTGTTATTTGCCATCGAGTCGGCCCCGACTCATAGAGACCCCTCCTTGGGTTTCCGAGGCAGTATCACTATGAAAGTAGGAATGCCCAACCTTCCTTCCGAGGAGTGGCTGGTGGGTTTGAACCACCAGCCTTCTGGTTACCAGTCAAGTGCCTTAGGCACTATGCTACCAGAGCTCCTAAATTTGTTCATAGCCTAAGTTAATTTCTTAAACAGATCTCCTTTTAAGCTTGCTTGGATTCTGGCAAGTTTAATCTATGTGTTATGTCATTAAGTAAGGAGAAGAATCAACTACGGATGGGTGTCTCTCATGCTTTGTCTTTATCTTCCTAGATTATTTTCTGAGCGTAGCTTTAATTTTTCACAAAAATGGGATTATGCTCTAATATTATTTTGTTAACCTGCTTTTTTTAAAACACAATGTGATCACTTTCCTATGTAAATAAACACATTTCTCTTCTATGGCCTAATTTTAATCTCTTGTTACTGAGGTCCATTGTTGAACCAGTCCATAGGTAGTTTCCAAATCCTGTTCTCATAGTGCTTTGGTGGACATTCTTGTAATCAAATCTTTGCCTACATCTTTAATTAGTCCCTCAGGCTGAATTCCCAGAATTGCTGGGTTAAAGGGTGTGCACATTTTTAAGACTCCCTCCTCCTTGGAGAAAATCAAACCAAACTCACTGCTGTCAAGTTGGATAGCGACCCCTCCTTGCGTTTCAGAGGTGGTATCACTACGGAAGTAGATTGCCCAGTCTTCCTTCTGAGGAGTGGCTGGTGGGTTTCGACCACCAGCCTTCTGGTTAGCAGTCAAATGCCTTAGGCACTATGCCACCAGAGCCCCAGCCCCTGCCTTGGAGAGGTTAACTATTTTGCTTTCTACCTGTCCCTCAGCACAAGGCATCATCACCTCCTTTTCATCTCCGATAATGTGATATAAGTATTTTAAATGTTATGTAGCTCTATTAATTGGTTGTTGTTGTTGTGTGCCATCGAGTCGGCCCCGACTCATAATTAATTGCTTACTGAGGATTAACTTAAAATGTTTACTGGGTTCTTTAAGCAGTGAGAATCCCTGGACACAAATGCTTGTTTCCTAAATATGGAGGATGTACAGGTGTTGGGTGATCGGCCTCCTCTTAAAAAACAAGAGCACAGAAGACATGAGTGGACACTTCACCAAAGAAGATACTCAGGTGGCCAACAAACACATGAAGAAATGTTCAGCATCATTAGCCATAAAAAAAAAAAAAAAAAACCAAACTCACTGCCGTTGAGTTGGTCCCAACTCATAGCAAGCCCTCCTTGGGTTTCCAAGGTGGTATCTCCACAGAAGTAGATTGTCCGATCTTCCTTCTGAGGAGTGGCTGGTAGGTTTGAACCGTCAGCCTTTGGGTTAGCAGTCAAGTGCCTTAGGCACTACACCACTAGAGCTCCATCAGAGGTGTAAATGAAAACAACAATGAGATATCGTCTCACCCCAGCATTAATAACAAAGTTCTACAACAACAACAAATTTTTTTTTAAAGCATTAATAACAAAGTTAAATAAGACAGAAAATAACAAATGCTGGTGAGGATGTGGAGAGATTGGGACTCTCTTACACTGCTGATGAGACGGTGTAAAATGATACAACCACTGTGAAAAGTAGTATGGCGATTCCTTAAAAAGTTGAAATTAGAAATACCATTTGATTTGGCAATCCCATTACTAGGTATATATCCTAAAGAAGTGAGAACCAGCACACAAACAGATATATGCACACACATGTTCACGTCAGCACTACTCACAATAGCAAAGAGATAGAAACAACCTAAGTGCCCATCAGTGGAGGAATGGATAACCAAACTGTGGTACAAACACACAATGGAATACTATGCAACCCTAACGAATAATGCAGAATCTGTGAAACACCTCATAACGTGGATAAACTTGGAGAATATTATGTTGAGTGAAATAAGTCAACCACAGAAGGACAAATATTGTATCAGTCCAATATTGTAAAAAGTCAAGAAAAGGTTTACATGTTAAGAAACTTACTTCATTGGTTACCAGGGATGGGAAGCGGGGAGGGAAAACTGCTAGATAGGTAAGAGACAAGTTGATATGGGTGAAGGGAAAGACAATGTACCAAAAGTGAGTGATGAACATAATAACACTAAGGAAAAGGAAGATGTGGAGAGCTACACAAGAGGTACACACAACAGACACTTTTACATATACAATACTGCATTATCAGTAATAACATCATTAATCTGTGGGTGGATACATAGGTGGACAGGCTGAATGATCAGGTATGTCTAGGCAAAAGGAAACATAAAACCAAAAAAAGCCAAACTCACTGCTGTTGAGTTGGATCCAACTCATAGTGACCCCTCCTTGGGTTTCTGAGGCAGTATCATTATGGAAGTAGATTGCCCAACCTTCCTTCCAAGAACATACTCATGACCATATATAAGTGTGCAGATGATATTTCTACATAGGTATTTGTATGCACAGGAGCTCTGGTAGCGTAGTGCGTAAGGCACTTGACTGCTAACCAGAAGGCTGGTGGTTCAAACCCATCAGCCACTCCTTGGAAGGAAGGTTGGGCAATCTACTTCCATAGTGATACCACCTCGGAAACTCAAGGAGGGGTCGCTATGAATCGGGTCCGACTCGATGACACGTAATAACAGCAACATTTGTATGCTCTATAAGACTGCCCATATAAATAGCCCTAATGGGGCAAAGTTATGATAACTTCTTAGCTATAGCCAGCCACCCTAAGGGAGCGAATTGTTGGACCTGTGGGCTCGGGACCATGGTTGCAGGGGACATCAAGCTCGATTGACATAACATACTGCATGTAAACATTGTTCTACACCCTGCTTTGGCGAGTAGCAACTGGGGTCTTAAAAGCTTGTAAGTAGCCATCTAGATTCATGAATTGGTCTCTCCTCATCCAGAGCAAAGAAGAATGAAGAAAACCAAAGACGCATGGAAACAGTCCAAGGGACTAGCGGACCATGTGAACCTCAGCCTACATGACCCTGAGATCAGAAGGACTAGAGGGTGCCCAGCTACCACTGTCAACCACTTGGAAAGGGATCAGTGCAGGAGATCCTGGGTAGAGTGGGAGAAAAATGTGGAGCAAAAATTCATAAAAAAGACCAGTTTACTGGTCTGATAGAGCCTGGTGGGACCCCTGAGACTATGGCCCCTAGGTATCCTTTGGGCCTGGAATTGGACTCCCTCCCTCCCATGGGTTCCAGCCAAACAATAAGTAGGCATATAAGATGAGCATTACACCAGGTAGGTACACTCCTTAGAACAACCAATCATGGGACATCAGAAGGGCAGTATTTGCACAGAAAGATAGCTCAGGGAGCAGGAATGTACAGGAAAGAAGGACACAGGGAAAAGGTAACCACAGGTAGGAAGTGGGAAGAGAGCTGTTTGTTGCATTATAAGGATTTCAGTCAGTGTCATGAAACAAAGTGTGTATGAACTTGTTGTTGTTGTTGTTGTTGTTAAGTGCCGTCGAGTCGTTTCCGACTCATAGCGACCCCATGCACAGCAGAACGAAACACTGCCCGATCCCGCGC